ACCATGGGTAGGGAACAGGTAGCACTTACAACTACCTTTCCTTTCCTTTCTCAGACCATCACATTGGGCCTGAGTTAGTCTTTGTATGTAGTAAATTACTTTCATGAGATAATTCTTTTTCCAGATATCTTGACTCAACTCCCCTCTACATATCTACTTATTTAATAAAAATATTAAAAATGTACCAGTACCTGTTGGTTACTGTGTTAGGCCTCAGGGAGCGAATGGTTGATGAAGTAATCTGTTCTTCTTATCATGCATTTTAGCAGAAAAGACACAAATGTCTGAATAGTCAGTGGAAAAACAGCTTATGTTGGCTTCTAACCCCTGCTGCAGAACAGATGAGCAGCATAAGGCTGCATTTGTTAAATGCCAAGGAAAGAAGCACATAGGATTAAGTAAGCAGTTGATTGCTGAGAGACTAGACTCCTAAGGTCTGTGAAAGAGAGAGGAATTTAACTGAGACTTGAGGAGATGGGAAGATGACAGGAATGGAAATAAATAGGAATGGCCTTCTCAGAGGAATGCATATGGCATATCCAAGAAGAGAAATGCATGTCAATAGGAATGCTCAGGACATATGGAGTCCCATTGGCCTTGATTCAAATCCTAGTTTGATGACTTGTATAGATGTATAATGCTAGGTTACTCCATCCCTTCTGTGAACTTCAGTTTTCCTAAGTCCTCCTTTGTGGGTTTTCACAAGGTTGATAAAGGTGCAAACTGTGCACATGGAAGTGAGGCACAAAGAATAGTCTCTGGCACATTGTAAATTTCCAGTGTTGGTAAGTATCGCCAGCTTGGGTGGAGAAGATGATGCATGTTGAATGAAGTACTCGTTTTTATATTTCTTCTCTGGAGTTTACCCATTGGTGCTTGAGTGGGTGAAAATGCCTGAAGAATACTCTGCTTTGTTTCTCACAAGAGATAAAAAGCGATCAGATGGAAAAAAAAAGTAAATGAGGGAAATGAATTACTTTCATGTACTTCTCTCAACCTTTCACCAGATGTGTTGAGCGCTTGAATTAGTCAGGCTGATTCTGTTTGAGCACAGGACACATCCTGGACTAACTAGGAGAGAAGGAGATTCATTTCCTCCCTTTGCTCTTTCCTTGCTTGGCAGAACCAGGAATGAGACTCTTGGACATTTTAAGGTGATTGGATATCACTGTTAGGTCAGAACATTAAGTTGAGTTACTTGAACTTAAAAGGCTATTAATAAATAGAGCTCATATGTTTCTTCTTCCTCTCATAAAACACCAGCTTTTAAACACTTAGCTTTATTTGCTCCAATTGTATCTTGGCATCTATTTGTGGCAAAATAAAATTCACTGACTGATTCAACTTGCTAAATCCTCCTGTTGGTTTCTAATCTGTTCCTTTCCAATTAATTTAGACTCAAGAGTAATTACAGTGCTGTATGAAGTGTAGCTTTGAGAAAAGATAGCATTTTACATTGAAAGGACAACGGTGATGGACACCTCCTTCTTTTTCATTTAAGCAGGCTTTAAACAAGTCCTTATTGAAATCTTACCTGAGTTGTTGTTGGAGCCACAATAAAGCAAAATTAGCAGGATCAGAAATAAATATCTGGCTCTGCTTAGTGCTCAGTGTCTCTTGGCTGATAAAATGCAAACTCATCCAAGAAAGTCTAAGAGAGAAAAAGCAAAGATACTTAACAGTTGAGCAAAAACAGTGCGAGCCAGTAAGAAATGACTGCATCTTGTACCAACAAGAGGATAAAAACAAGAAGGGAGAAGACTTATTTAGTCTAGAACAGTCTGAAGACAAGACAAATCACAAAGAATTGTCGAAAGAAGAAAGGCAGGCAAATATTGAGCAGTAATTTCAACAGTTACCTTGTGTCAATTGAAGAAGACAAAAACCACAGGGACCCCCAAGATCTACTGTATGAGCAAGATTGATGGATTCCATTTTATTGAATGAAGATGCCTTTCATGTTGAACTATAAGCAGATAGAGTTGTTTCGGTGATGATTTAATTAAATAGGGCATCCTTGGATGTTTATTCTCTTTTCTTCTCAGTTACTTATTTGTCATTCTTATTCCTTTTTCTTATATCCAGCACTTGAGTACCACAGTGTTGTCATTCATTGATTAAGTGTCTTGCCAGAGAGAACTTGAAGGGTAGGGATCATGCCCTATCTCCTGTACCTGGACCAAAACAAGACATGAGGTAGGTGTTCTACAAAAGTTGTGACATGAAAGAATCAATAGGTGCTCCTTTGGCTTGGCTAACCATGTTTTCAATCATCTTGAACATTCTTTAGGCTCATCGTTTTATTCATTTACTTTCTCTGAAGCAGTGAAATACCTCAGACATCCAAGAAACATTCAGTAAAAAAGGAAATACAAACCCACAAGACTTGTATTCCCTCTTAAAAGGGTTTTCCCTGCTAACACAAAGTATTTCATTGTGTGTGACAAGTGAACCCAAATCAGTCTGGCACCTTGGTGATGATAATTGACAGGCTTACAAGCTGAGGCTTTGCCTGATAAATCAAATTGCAAGGGCCTGGGTGTGTTTGTCACACCCTGCCAATTTTAAGCTGCTGCCTGACAGCTGTCTGTCAGGCTACAGTAAAAAGAGTAGGCCTCAGGGAGGCTGGATGCTGCCCCAGGCATGAGCATCTTGGCGTGAAAACAAGCCTCCCTTTCACTACTAGTGCTGTGTTCCTCTGGGCCTGAAATCTGAGATGTTTTCATTATCCCAATTTGCTGGAAGGTTGGATTCATGGCATTTAGTCACTTGGGATGAAGATGATGACTAGGACTTGATTCTCTGCATTTTTCTAGGGCAAGGAGACAGCCAGCCCTCCACCCACCCCCCAAAAAATAAAGGATATGGATATGAGATTGAGAAACATACTTTTCAGGTATGTGTAAGTGAGCAGATTTCAACAAGTTTGTGTGTCTTTATCAAGGGTGCAAATTGTATTTGTTTCACAGAATCTTGGTGAGATTGTGGATCATGTGACTGGAGTTTATGAAATGAAACCTCTGGAACTGTGGTTCTCAAATGAATAACTTTCTAACACCCACCTTTACCTCTAGGACAGGGAGAGGCCTTTGGCAGGGCCCAGAGGTATTTTTTGCTGTGGTTGTCCCAATTAGGGGCAGGTGGTACTGTTACGTAGAAATAGAGATCAGGCAGCTACTCAACATCCTCCAATGCACAGGACAGCTTTCTACAATGAGGAATTATTCAGTTCAAAATATTGATAGTGGCCAGCCTGACAAACCCTGTTGGAGAGCTTGAGAGCTCCTCGAAGTTTAACTGCACCCTACTTAAAAAAGCGTTTGGGTTTTAATCTGTTAAAATTAGGTTAAACTATGTCTTAATTTTCTATGCTCAGCAACAACTATGCTTCAGTCAGTCAGGAACCACAATCTCCCTCAGACCTGCAGCCAGTGTCCTCTTCTCATTGCTCCAAACCCAGCAAAATAAGTCCCTCCTGCTCCCTCTCATCCTTGGACATTCCATGGTGTATGTGCGGCTGTCTGCTCCCATGGAACCTACTGTCTGGCTGCTGGCTTCCTTCAGTAACAGAGCTGACTTCCTCTCCCCCATCAGTGCACTGGCTGTTAGGGAAGGTGTAGAGTCTATCATTCCTTCAAGTTTCTATATTGGAGTCATAGCCTCCACTTGCAGTATGTGAGAATGTGACTTTTGTCATTTTCTTTGAGATAGGCTCTTGCTCTGTAGCTCAGGAGCTAGTCTGGAATTTACTCTCCCTACCAGGCTGGCCTCAAATGTATAATTTTCTTCCTATTTCAGCCCTCTTCTGACCTCAGCATTGGGATTATAGATGTATGCCACCATGTTTGGCTAAGACAGGGGCTTTAATTAAGTTGAAATGAAATTATATGGGTGAATAATAATCTACTATGGTTGGCATCCTTGTAAGAAAAGGAGATTAGCCACATGCAAGAAGGAAGACAATGCCAAAATATAAGAATGCATTGACCTACAAACCAAGAAGAAGGGACTAGGCTGGAATCATCCATGCTGATACCTTATGTTTAGATTTCCAACCTCTAGAACTGAGAGTCAGTAAATGCCTGCTGATTAAAGCTGCCCAATGTGTTCTTATTAGGGAATAAATACACTAGCCTTTACGTTTGCTATACCATTCTCACAGTGGGAGTGGGGAGTGTCGTCTCTCTATCTGTCCGTCTATCCACTATCTCTGTCTGTCTGTCTGTCTGTCTGTCTATCTAATCTACCTATCTCTTGATCATCTATCTGATCTATCATCTATTTATCACCAACCCTGTTGGTGTTATGAGATAGGGTCTCACGATGTTGGCTGGCATGGAACTTGCCACCTGGGCCTTAGATTTTCTCATATCACATGAGAGATCATGGAGAAACTGGCGCAATGTCTGCCCTTCATTTCCTCCTAGATTTGCATCATTCCTACAGTTCCCTATATTCTGGTAGTCCTCAAAATGTGGTCCCTAAGCCAGCAGGGAACTTGTCAGAGATGGAAATTTTCAGGTCTTATAAATAAGTCAAACCAGATGCTCTGGGAATGGGACCTGGGAAGCTGTGTTCTTAACAACACCTCTTTGGGAGATTCTGATGTCCGTTTATATTGGAGACTCCCATAGCAGTGTTTTCTTTTCTAAGAATGCTTTTGCATGGAACACAGTTGCTTTTCCTGTATCTGAATCTAGGAGTCACTAGGTTTACCTTTTATACTTTCATTTTGAACACCTGACAGTAGATCTGTCAAGGAAACAGGCAGATTCCCAGGTAAGGTGGTGGAGAAATCAGTTCTCTAGTTCTCTAGTCCTCCTCCCACTGAAATGAGAGCTTTAACTATCCCCCACTGAAGTTTATTTTTCCTCAATCAGTGTAGAGACATCTTTAGATCAAGTTTCATGTTAAATCTCTGTTAAATATCTTCATGTTATCATTAGGCTATAAGATCCAAGTTTATATATAGTAGACAAAAAAAGGGAAGGGAGAGCCATTGCAGTACCTTGAGCTCCATAGAGACAGCACAGGGGCAAGTGAGAGCCGGACAGGCACCGAGCGACTCTGTGCCTCGCGGAGGAAAAACTAAACATGGGCAAAGGAGATCCTAAGAAGCCGAGAGGCAAAATGTCATCATATGCATTCTTTGTGCAAACTTGCTGGGAGGAGCACAAGAAGAAGCACCCGGATGCTTCCGTCAACTTCTCAGAGTTTTCTAAGAAGTGTTCAGAGAGGTGGAAGACTATGTCTGCTAAAGAGAAAGGGAAATTTGAAGATATGGCCAAGGCAGACAAGGCCCGTTATGAAAGAGAAATGAAAACCTACATCCCTCCTAAATGGGAAACAAAAAAGAAGTTCAAGGATCCCAATGCACCCAAGTGGCCTCTTTCGGCCTTCTTCTTGTTCTGAGTATCGCCCTAAAATCAAAGGGGAACATCCTGGCCTGTCTATTGGTGATGTTGCAAAAAAACTGGGAGAGATGTGGAACAACACTGCTGCAGATGACAAGCAGCCTTATGAAAAGAAGGCTGCGAAGCTGAAGGAAAAATATGAAAAGGATATTGCTGCCTACCGAGCTAAAGGAAAGCTTGATGCAGCAAAAAAAGGAGTTGTGAAGGCTGAAAAGAGCAAGAAGAAGAAGGAAGAGGAGGAAGATGAGGAAGATGAAGAGGACGAAGAAGAGGAGGAAGATGAAGAGGATGAGGATGAAGATGAAGAGGATGATGATGAATAAGTTGGTTCTAGCGCAGTTTTTTTTCTTGTCTATAAAGCATTTAACCCCCCTGTACACAACTCACTCCTTTTAAAGAAAAAAAAAATTGAAATGTAAGGCTGTGTAAGATTTGTTTTTAAACTGTACAGTGTCTTTTTTTGTATAGTTAACACACTACCGAATGTGTCTTTAGATAGCCCTGTCCTGGTGGTATTTTCAATAGCCACTAACCTTGCCTGGTACAGTATGGGGGTTGTAAATTGGCATGGAAATTTAAAGCAGGCTCTTGTTGGTGCACAGCACAAATTAGTTATATATGGGGACGGTAGTTTTTTCATCTTCAGTTGTCTGACGCAGCTTATACGAAATAATTGTTCTGTTAACTGAATACCACTCTGTAATTGCAAAAAAAAAAGTTGCAGCTGTTTTGTTGACATTCTGAATGCTTCTAAGTAAATACAATTTAAAAAAAAAAGGGAAGGGATCTTCTTAGTAGTTTTGATAATTAGTAAAATGTAACACTTACAGTTGCAAAGTACTTCCCTGTGTGCAAACCTCCTTTTACATCATGAAACAGTTTCCTAATTGGTAAATGTCAGAGAACATACCTGATACAGGTGGTCAGCCTTGTACTGAGTTCAGTTCGCTCTAATGGATACAATCAAAACCAGACCATTTGTTCGCACATTGTGGGTGGTAGCACTGAGCAGGAATAGTGTAGCCGTCCAGAGGTCTCATTGCCATGTGCTTGGGAAATGAACTGTGTCCTTTCCCCTCTTCTAGTGATAGATCCAGGGCTTCACAATAAATAATGAAAATGTGCAGGCCCAGGGGGCCACGCTTTCAGTTCTCTTCTGTAAATTTACTAAGGAAAGATGACAGATTTCTTACTCTGTCTTATTAGGGCTAGAGGTGATGAAATAACAAATGAGCTGTGACAAAGCAAGCCATCAGGGGCATGGTGGTGTCGGTGGGATCTTGGAAGCTGTGACAAACTGCTGAGCACAGGATAGCTCTTCCTGACACCCCTGGATTCCCCAACTAGAGGAGATGGAGGACCATTAGGAAAGAAAATCCATGACCCTAGTTGGCACAACTGTTTCTGTATTTGAATGTGAAGAATTTTCTAATAAAAAAACCTTACTGATGCTACAAGTGATTTATAAATAATTACCAAAGAAGTACCACAAGCATATATGGGGAAAATCTAGAGGGCATTGAGAAACTCTACTGAGACCTTGTTGGAGCAACAGAATAATGAAGAATGCTGTGTGTATGTGTGTGTGTGTACATGGTTAGTGCATATCTGTGCATACCCACATGGATAAGTGCACATATGCTTGTAAGCATGCACAGGTATATCTATATACATGCATGTGTGCATACATGTTTGTTTTTTTTCTTTTTGTACTTTCTACAATTTCTGCAAATGTTTGGGGGAGAGGATTCAGAATGATGTGTAGGCATGTCAAGTTCTCTTTGCAAAAATAAAAATTGGGGAGAGTTATAGAAATAGAGATGACATTTTTCTAGGCTCCCTCAAGGAGAAATTGGTGCCAAGAGGCAGGGTATAATTAGACTTTGTTAAGATATATTTTTGGCAACCACCTACTTAGTATGCATTTTATGTCATTTTTTCTCCTTCATACCTTTCAAGGTGAGAGTCAGTCATAGCCATGTTTTAGCTTTAAGTTGATCATTCTAAAAAAGATGTGTGCTGTATTGATATGAATGTGAGAGTCATAGCGGTGTGTACTTGAATTTGCGTTTGCTCTCAAGGGGATTACTGTGTGTGTGTGTGTGTGTGACTTTGGCTCTAAGATTCCCACTTCTGAATGTAAGCAGAATATATTTCTCTTAATGTAGGGAAGAGCAGCTGTTAGGAAATGAATGGCACTTGGTCTTGACTTTTAGGAAATCCTTGGCTCTGTGTTAGTTGTATGTAGCTCATGTGTGCATTGTGAAAATACAGTAACATACTAATTGTCCATTTTTCATTTATCACTAAAGAAGGCAATCCTTGCATTTTCTTTGACTTCAATGATGGTGTCACAGTTGTGTTTTGTTTGTGTATATTCCCCCAAAAGCCATCATGTACAGCACACACAGAAAGTAACTGGGGGCTGGGTGTGGTGATTTATGCCCATCCTCTCAAAAACTCAGGATGCAAAGGTAGGAGGATCAAAATCCAGGTTAGTTAAGGCAAAAGCTCAAGACAGTATCTGAAAAACACACTAAAAGCAAAAGAACTGAAACCTGGCCGATGCTGTAGCGCACCTACTGGACAATATTGCTTTTGTCTCAGAAGCACCATGCTCTCTAGATTCTCCTCCGCTCACTTTCCCTCATTCTCCTTGCAAGTCCCTTATCATTGTACTCTTGCACTCTCTAGATGGTACAACACCCAAGACTTGATCCTTTCTTAGCTTCTTTTCTCTCAATTCTTTTCACTACTCCCTCCTTGAAGGATTTCATCTAATCTGATCACTTTGAATTCTGTCTCTGTACAGAATTAAAACTTTGATCTCAGACCATACTCCCAGTTCAGTTTTTTAACCATCCAACACTTAGTTCCAGAACTGTTCAGTAAATGGCAGCTTTACTCAGCCATGATTGAAAATTTATGGTTATTCTAGACTTTTTCTTTCTTTATCCTGCCTTGTAATTCCTTAGAAATTCTTGATGTCTCTGAAATGCAAACCTGTCCAAGGAGCTTCTGTTTCTTAGCATGTCATTATTGTCATTTCTCAAACCCTTGCCTCCATTTCTCCTTCAAACACCATCTCTGATGCTTCAGAAGTATATATTATGTATCTGTTAAATAAACTTATGAAAAAATAAGGAGATTCTGCTGGTTTGCTTGTTAGTATGAATCTTAGGGTTTTTCCCCCCCAATGAGAGGTTAATCCATGGCATCTTTCTGGGAATGCAAACTGCTTGCTGTGCTGTAGATAGCTTGGCTTGTAAATGGGGAAGGGGGATGGTCACTTGCTAGAGATCACAGGTGGAGATCACTTATTAGAGATTATTCACAAGTCTATTCATAGTAAATACCATTGACCTGAGCCACACTAATTTGAAATTTATGTTGCAGAGGCTCAGTTGAGACTTATTATCCTAGAGAAGACTTAGTATTGGAAAAAATTATATTAAGTGAAGTAAGCCAAGCCCAAAGAAACATAGGTCCCATGGTTTCCCTTATTTGCAATATCTAGTATATGTATGAGTCAAGCGGAAAAGGTCAGATAATGTGATGTCAGGAAAATGAACCCTTAGATATGTATTTTAATGTTTTTTCTTTCATGCATGTGTTTCTAACGAATTTATAAGATTATCTCTTTGTTGCTTTGTATGTCCCTCCCCCACAGTATAACCCGTGTTTCAATATATTTGATGTCAGTATAACTTGTGGAGGAGATGGGGAAAAACCGTTGTTTAAGGATACAGGTGGACCTGATGCAACAATGAGAAGTACTAGTTGTCATGTCCAAAACGAACTTTACAACGTCGGTGGGGGGGAGGGGGGGGAGGGGGGAAGGAGAAGGATTGGGATGGGGGGAGGGGGGAGGCTGGGAAGTGATGTGAAGGGTAAACAAAGGAGGAGGCTGCAATGCTTGGTAAGAAATGTACGCATTATCCTGCCCATGCAATTGTAACCCCTCTGTACAGTATTTTCACAAATAAAATAAAAAAAAACACATAAGCAAATTCTCAGAGAATAATGATAACATGTCTAATTAAGTTTAATCTGTATACCTTTTATAGGAATATTGTCTTTTCTTGCTTTTTGTGGGGCATGGAAGATTCATTGCATTGCATGAGTGTAGGTCTTTATATTTGTAAACATCTTTTAGAAGTGTATTATGCACGAACAATTGGGAGAGAAATTTCTTATTTACAGTCTGTATTTTAAAACAAATTATGAAAGTATTTATGTAGTGATATAGGTTTGAATCCCAGATGCTCAGACAAAAAAAGAAATGTTTATTTCTTTCTTCCCATCCCCTAATTTTCCTGTCTAAGCTACTTAATGGAGATCCTAGAGACACAGGTTCATCTCTAGCTCTTAACAATTCACACTGGCAGCTCCAGATAGCGGGGAGGGGTGGAGAGGGGAAGGTAAGAAAACATAAGAATTTATATTTATCCTCATCTCCACATGAAAATTTGATAAAAAGTCAAATTTTCCTTACTTCCCCTTTGACTAGTGCACTACGTTCTGGGGCAGTGTGAAGTCCCTAGCTGACTTCTAGTCCCTTACTGTTGCAGGGTCTGTGCATGTGTGTCCACTACTGTTTGTTCTATATGTTCTTCAGTGTTGGAAACTCAGCTCATGTTGCTGTTGAGTGCAGAGATGATCCTGTCTGAAGTCACTAAATGCTCCGTGGAAGCAATGGAGACATTGGAAAGCACTTGTTTCAGAAGAGAAGCTTCGGCCTACGGTGCCACTTTTCAGTGTAAGGTGTCAATTCATTTAGCATCTCTCAGGAGCAAAGTAAGTCAGGGAATGCTGGGACCAAGTTTCTTGGATAATTTTGTGGCTCTCAGGAAAAGCACTGGGTTACTAACAGTGGTTCTGAGTAGGCAGTATCACTATGAATTACAGTCTGAAAGTTCTAGAAGAGCAGAGGGCAGTTCAATGCAAACCCACTCAAGTCACTACTAGAAGTTACCTTGGTGACCTCAGGCAGGGAAATGTCACCCTGATGTCCTTGGTGTTTGCTCTTATTTTTGTTAATCCCTCTGCCCCCTTTGAATAATTTCTGTCTTCCATGCCTATGGGATGATATTGAAAGGTGTCGCGACCGCCTCGACCCGCAAGGATGACGCGACAACAGGTTCTTCTTTCAGATGGTTTATTCAGGACCTTGTTTACAGCTTCTTTTCTCCTACTTCTCTCCTGCCCGCTTCTTCCTTCTTCTCCTTGTTTCTCCTCCCCATCCGCCCCCGCGCTCCGGTTATAAGCCTCCTGGATGGCCAATCCTGAAGCGCCACGTGGCATATAC